CCAAGGGTTTTCTGCCACTTATACAGTAGACTAGAACCCGCCCAGGCTTTGTCTGCAAGGATGAAAACACTCTGTGGACACAAAGAGACTTTTAAGTAAGTTATATTTGGAAAAAAAAAAGATGTTTCAAACACAATATTCATGTCACACAATAATAATAGAGATTGGTAGTCATGAGAAGCGCTACTTAGCCAGTGACAGCAGTGTTTTTTCTCTCTCTGTGATAATGACTCACGTAACATTTCTTTAGTAATATGGGTTTGGGCTTTGAGACTGAAAATATTTAACAAAAAGCCTGCATTTCAAAACTGATAGCATTGAATGATGAGGAGATTTAAGGAAACATCTGATCTAACGGAGTCAGGAGGAGCGTAGGATAGTAGCGATTCAAAGTCACAGGTTAGTACCAGATCTCTCCTTCAACAGTCTGGCGAAGCTTTTGTTTTGAACAGTTTCTGTTCAAAGTATGACCAAAAACATATCTACAGTGATGCATAAAGCAATTTGCTGACAGTAACAGCATCACCTCTTACAATAGAATATTTTATCACCACAGGGGTCCACTAAAATGTATTTCGATCCAGGCCATTTTCAACAGGGAGAGACAAAAGCACCTCTTGTCTTGTCTCAAACACCATATCCTCTTATTGAACAGCTTATCCTGCCAATTGGAGGAACTGCGTGCTAACAAGTTACACGTAACTTAGAAAGGCAAACCGTTAGTTGCTGTTAGCACTTTAGCTAACACCGCAGCTGATTATACGTTAGCTGCTTAGCTAACGACGCCCGATGCAATATGATAGCACTGCATTAGCTTGTTTCCAGGACTTGCCTCAGTAACGCCACCATTAGCAAGTAGCTATTACTGTAACGTTAACTAACTAAAGTTATTTGACGTTAGCTTGGTTAACGTAACGTAAGTTAGCTGGATGGCTGCAGCCCGTCCTATAACGTTATTAACGTTACATCTTAACACGGAAGCCTCTAAACCAGAAGTAATGTTGGCTTTTTAAATGAATGTGCTGCTACCAACCTTCATCGGGACGGCGGTTTAAATCATTTGAACTTTCAATCGATATTTTCTGTTCAAAACGTCTCCGACGTAAAACTTGAGACCAACTGCGCTTCACTCTGAAGCGTCTGAAGCGACAGCGATGTCATAGCAACAGGCACCAGCCAATGAGATGCCGTATCATTGGTCACATGGCGTTAAAGGGACAGTTCATCCCCAAACGTCAAAGTAGTACACATTATTTTCTCGTTTGTTACTGTAGTGATCTTATTTTACATCATTCTACCCGATATTAATTTAGTATGTGGCCCAAAACTTTTAATTCCAAGTCTCACTGCCTTTATTTGTTAGTTGTACATTGTCAGTGAACAACTACAATAAACGGAGCAGATTGTTAATAACAATATAGACATTTGTTAGATGTTTTATGGAGTCTAACATGGCAAAACAATAGAACTGATATTTTCTTCTTTCAAAGCAGCTTTGTAAGCAGCGTTAGTCCCCTTACTGAATATATGATCCCATCTGGTGCATTGTTGTGATAAACTTGTAAACATCCAGCAGTCTGTAAGGATGGGAACTAAGGATACAAAGCAAATATGTAAAATCACCCAGTGGGGGAAATGTTTAAATCTAAAACAAAGCGTTTCTGCTGGTATTTCCTGCACCAACTAAAAGCAATTTAGTTTAAAATTCATGTCTATGTTCATCTTTCACTGGTGACGGAAAAGTTAAATTCTGTGTTGAATGAAAACTGCAGTGACAGATTCACAATGTGGTCGTGAACTTGGTCATAATTAAAAAATGATGCCAAATGATGCCGTTCTGAAACGGCCGTTCTGCACAGTGAATATTTTGATGCTGATACCTTTTCACTGAACTGTAGTTTTAAACGAAAGACCCAAGCGCTTCTTCCAGCACTGCTGAGCAGCACAGAAACATCACAGCAGTTTTACTGTCAGTGAATCCTGTGACCCTCACACGGTGTGGTCCCACTCCGGATCCAATAGATAGCAGCCTGCACCAACTTCAGGGCGTCTTAGTTCCACTGTGTGTGTATCTAACATCTGCTCAGTCCCATATCTCCTTTCCTGTTGTCTTGTATCCATCAGTGTTGCTCTGTGAAACTGAAGATACTCCACCGTCAGCTTCTCCCACTGCATACTGAGCTGGCCTACTGTACTCTCCTTCTGTTCATCTGAAATACATCAAGGTCAGCTGCTCCTCCTCCTCCTGCTGTTCAATTATTGATGGAAGACAGGGGAAAACACTCTGGTGACACAGCAACTTCTGTACTTCTCCATATGTTGATGGAAGGCTGGCAGCTTCATTTTGCTTTGCAAATCTGGGAGCTGGAAAAAAAATGCCAGCAGTGTGACACAAATATTCACACATTGTGCTCCGGCAAAAAGCCCCCTGCTGACTAAGATCTCATTAAGATGCACTGAAGGAGCCGCTCAATGATTTTCAAGTAAAATTAAAATTAGAGCAGAGAGATGAAAGGGGAAAAAAAGATGAAAAATGAAAGTTTTGAAATGTTTTCTGCCAGCGAGATAATAAAACCCGAGTGGGTAGAGCAACCCATTGCTCTTACAATCTACAGTGTTAGTCTTTGAAGTATTATGCAATCCAATGAAAAAAGCAAAGATAAAAATCATTTTTGAAATGCTAAAACAAGCATGAAGACAGAATGTGCGTACGACAGGCAGTGATGTGCAGGCAAAGCATATATTTTACAAATACTACTGGGTACATTCCATATTTCGAAAACACAAATATTGACAATTTTTATAATAAAACTATTTTTCATTTTTCTTTTCCTTTTTCTGGCCCAAGGAGGGTCGCTGCAGGTGGGGCGACGCCCCATTGCCCTCTATTGGCCAGCCGCCACTGTTCAACGCTAAATAATGATAATACTACGACTAAAGAACATTAACAAAGAGAAAAATGGGGCAGCTTGGCGCCACCGAGCTGGACCAGATCACAGCAGGAGGGCCCTCTTGGTTCCTCTACGGCTGATAAAACTAGATGGATCGCCCTCTAGAATGCCCTTCTAGTGCAGGAGTCATGACGGAGTACACTGTGTGCTGCCTTTCCAATGTACAATATGTATCACCGTGTATATTGCATGATGCCCTACTTGCTAGAAAACATTCCAGGGCCCAGGGGAGGTAATTCAGCAGCCCTGTAAATGCAGATGTCTACACCTGGGTACAGCACTGACAGATGTGCAGCTGCACGTCTGAACCGTCTGGAGGTCACGCCTTCTGTAGTGAGACAGTGGCACTTTCTGTCTTCTTCTCCTGCCTGTCAGGCTAAATGGAGCACGGTGCTCTTAAAGCCGAAAGAGAAGGTCACAAGCGCCATTTCTCAGTTGCCAGCGGGAGACGTTGTCATTATAAGCTTCCTCTGCAATAAATAACAGAGTGAATCGGTTTGCTACCAGCTGGTGTCTCGTTGTAAGTCGTGAGCGCTCCTCTCCCCGGTACACACTGACGTCCCCGTGCCAGCGGTTCCACCTGCTGCCACGTCTCCTGCTCAGGCTGCACATCTGAAGACTACGAAGGGTAACGAGGATTCATGTGAACCTGCTGGCAGAAAGGCCTGCATTACTATGACGACTACCTCTGAACTGCTCGGGCCATTATTGGTGCCGCTGTGATGTCATAATGGCATAAATGTAACCATAAATACAATTTAATTTAGTATTGTAAAGAATTAGTTTTACAAGGTGGAAGGAAAATAACCAGTGTTCAAGTGTTGAACCACGTCTTGACTTTAATGTATAAAAGAGCAATGACGGCATGTTACGGCAGTATTTATTATACATACATCATGGTGTAATATTCTGATCCAAAAAGGAGATGAGCAGCTGTACCATTTCTCACCAATCTTCATCTCAATTCATGGTACAAAAAGAAATGCACACCAACAGAAACGCACAGGGGCCCTGTAAAATATACATCATGATACAATATGACTACATACAGATATATGTATTTATGTACATATTATTCACAAAATATATAGTTTCCTTCGGAGTATCGGTCTATAACCTCAGACTACCTTTACACAGTGGAGGTGACACACTTCTGCAGCTCTCTGGTAAATAAACAGCTGGTTTGAAGGAGGCAGAATGATGCAGCGGTGCATCAGCATCGCTCCTCACTCATCCTCACTTCGCTCCCGGGTCACTGTGGTTAAGTGTGTGTGTGTGAGTGATTGTGTGTCTGTGATGTGACTGTGTGTGTGTTTGGGAAGTACATCCTGGGGGCTACATTAGCTCTAGATCTGTCAATTCAGACAGGATGCCTGTTCTGCCTCTGACTGTCAGGAGTCGACTTCCTGTATTCTTAACACACAAGCAAACACACACACACACACACACACACACACACACACACACACACGCACACACACGCACACACACGCACACACACACACACACACACACACACAAGAAAAGCCACAAAAAGGAAACACACAATTGTGTCTGTATCAAAGCTGTAATCAGCATCTTTGTACTCTTGAGGTTAAGTTTACTCAAACAAGCCCTCAAATATGAACACATGAGTTTGTTTCAAATGATTCATTTTAGAATCACGTCTCATACTTTGTCTGCAGCGGCATAAAATCTAATAACGCTACGAACTTGAGATCAAACAAAACAACGGCGCCGGCTGAATCAACGTTATTAAATCCAATGGTCTCATTATATGCTGCGTTGTTCATTTTGTCTGGGTATCGAATTCTGCGGCAAAACTTAGTGGTGTGTGTATTTGTGTGTGTGTATTTGTGTGTGTGTGTGTGTGTGATGAAATGGAAAAAAAAGAATGAAAAGAAGGCAGCAGGGAATTGAAAATGTGGTGAGCGTTAGATTCTCATTTGAGATAAAAATATACTTACAATCTCCTAAAACAACGCACACACACACACGCACGCACGCACGCACGCACGCACGCACGCACGCACGCACGCACGCACACACACACACACACACACACACACACACACACACAGAAATAGACAGAAATTCTCACCTGACCCAGTATAAAACTAAACCCGTAAATAGCTGACTGAGTGCGAGAGAAATATGAAAAATATGAACATATTATTAAAACTCACGTTATAAACTGAGACTAGAGCTTAATGCCTCACAATTATGTAAACAATGACAAAAGTAAAAGTAAAAAAACACCGGAAAAAACGGAGGCAATTGCTGAATAATGGAAGAATTGATCATTTTCCACTGCGGCTCGTGTGATAATGTCCAATAAATCACAGTACACTGCTTCAGATGTGGGCTGATGTAACTGTGCAGACATACACACAGAAACATTCGATAAAAGGCCAATGATATGTATCTGACTGAGAAGTATAAAGAGCATCAGCTTCTCACAGTGTAGCTGTTCTTGAGGTTGTGCTGATTATGTCAAAAGTCTTTCTTTCATCCGCCAGCGAGGAAGGGAAAGAAAGACGAGAGCAACTCGCCAACTGCCAAATGAAATGCTAGAGAATACATGAAAATGGCATCAATACGACGCTGATCAGATATTGTTTGGAGAGGCGAGAGCGAAAAGTGATGCGGCAACTTGCCAATCTCATTCACGTCTCTCCCACCTTTCAGCAGAAATAGAAGCTGAAAGCAACCAAGTGTGTGTGTGTGTGTGAGTGTGCGTCTGTGAGTGTGCGTCCCCCCCCGTGTCTACAGGAACAAACTAACAGGCAAGATCAACAAAAATGCGAGGCGGGTGTTCCGTCATGCTGCGGTGAACACAGCAGACTGCGCTTCATCGCGGCGGCGGTTCACTCCTGCGGCAGAAGTTACCAGGATGTTCAAACACGAAGACTCAACCGTAAAACACATAAATGAAGGAGAGGCGGCCGCCGAGGAGTCGAGTCTCTGGCTCCCCGGGTGGGCAGACGGGTTTCCCCGTTGGTCTTCAGCAACGCGGACCCTCCGAGACGCACCGTCCGCCGCGGGCCGGACCGGAGTCGGCGTCTTTCTTTATTTACAGCCTGACGGCCACCACGCATGCTCCCGCCCGGCCCAGACACAGAGGTGCTACCTGGAGAGGAAGAGAGAGAGAGAGAAAAACACCTGAACCAGTCGAGTCTGAAGCAAGAGCGAGTCAGGGGAGAGCAGAGCCCTGCAGAACAGGCAGTACAGGTAAAAGGTATTCGCTGGATTGTTTTAAATATCTGCATGTTCTCATTAATATCTGGCAAAAGCGCATGCATCTTTGTACCTGCAAAATGAGACCAGTTAAAATGTCTCCTGTGGAGCAGGACACAGCAGTCCTCAACAAGGCCCGGGACCAAGACAGGCGACAGATCTCAGGTCTTGTCCATCAAATGCGCGAGACCGACAAGACGGCAAGACTTCAACCAAAATGGGTTTGCTCGTGTGAAATCATATTTCATGTTTGCAGGACTGCATGTCCTTGTTTGGGGTTGAACAAACTCAATTAAGTTTAGGCATTTTACATATTTTCTACGCCTGTTGGATGAGGTCAATACCTCAAGTTCACCAGCCTTGTGAACTAACGTTTAAGACGACATGGATGAGAAGACCCTTTGAGACGCTACAATCCGTCAATCCATATCTGGCAGCAGTTTTCAGTGAAACCCATTGTGCTCTATATCTAGTAGAACTCTGTATATCCTCCTGTGGCGGCTGTCAACCAAAAACAGACTAGAAGGCAGTTAATACCAGACTCGCATTCACCAAATTAAGTCAGAATATTGCTCCTCTGCGTGACTGTGTAAATTGGCAAATGCTTACTAAATAGTTCAGCATATCAATATCAAATGGTGTCATCATGTCAGTGTCGGCTCTGCAGCTCCCAGCGGTGCTAAAATGTATTATTTTGGGTTTATGTCAAAAGTCCTCAGAAAACAATGTAATATCAACATCTGGATTTCCGTGAGCACGACTTTTAAATTTAAATTTAACCGGTCTCCACGTGTCCTCACACGGCAGTCTGTCCCTGTCCCTCTGTGTCAGCTGGAACGTTTTACGTGTTCTGCAGCCGCCCGTCTACAGCGCTCTTGTTCTCAGCGCGCCGTGCGTCTCCAAAATAGCAGATTTCTGACAGCTTTGGAGGGAAACCCTGGGGGCCGTGCGGGAGAGTGACCTGAGCCGAGTGAAATCGTTTAACATTGAAAACAATTTCCCTCCACTTGCAGCAGCAAGGACAAGATCAGCGTTAAAGAAACACATTTACATAACAAAGAAAGAAACGGCAAGACGCACAATAGAGGAGGGTCACACTGTGACTGCGTGTGTTGATTTAACAATTTCATTGGTGTACATTGGCATTTATTACTTGTTTTTACTGAACTGAAGTCAACGTACATTAAGTGGATGCATATGAATCTGCTGCTTATGTTCGTGCCACACGAGAATATATACGGTTTCCTTCCAAACATGTAAACTGCATTCCTGTCATTTTGTGTGTGTGTTTGTGTGGCATCGGGTTGTGTACCTGTGTCCACTCGTTAGTCTGAGGGTCGTAGGCTTCAACCGTATTGAGATACACCTGCCCGTCATAACCGCCCACGGCGTAAAGACGGTCGCCAAGGAGACAAACACCTACTGCGTCTCTGCTGATGCTCATGGGCGCAACTGCTGTCCACACATCTGTCTGAGGGTCATACCTGCGCACACACACACACACACAAAAGCCTGAGTGAGACATTACAATGTCGAAAGGGTATTCTGTGACAGACACGGTCAAGAGCTCAGCATCTTTCTCCTCTGCAAGATAAGATCCCAATAAAAGGTCATTATCTTGCAGCCCAGATCATATACAACACAAATCATTGAACATTTCTCACACACGCGCACACATCCATGGCGTGAAAGCCCACCTTTCCACACAGTCGCTCAGCCGAGATGCAAGTGATGAGGCCGGAGCGTCATGACCTCCGATGGCGTAGAGGAAGCCATGCCATGTGGCCACGCCCACACCTCCGCGCCTTTTAGCCATGGGAGCACAACCGGTCCACCTGTAGATGAAGGTTGTCAGTGAGGAGAAGAGAAAAACGGAAACTTTCACCAACACCGAGTAAAACATTCTGTGCTTGGAAAAAAAGAAAAAAAAAGAAAGGTATTTTCAGGGGACCAATAAGAACCTTGCCCCAACAACCATAATGAATGTACTCGACAGAGGCTTTTTGAGCGTGGCCTACATGCATCATCCTCAGAGGCTTAGCTGCCTCCTTTGATCTGTGGGTAAATAACCTTTGGAGCTCTACAGCAGACAGAAAACATCTAATTCCCCTCAAACGAAGTCCCTTGTCTCTGACCTGTTGGTGTGGGGGTCGAAACACTCCACCGAACGCAGGCAGGAGGATCCGTCACGACCTCCAACTGCATACAGCCTGAGGAAGACGGAAGATGGCAATGACCGATGGACACCGATTCACAGGGCTTCGAGGACAAAGTCGATCAGCCAGAACTTTTGGGAGCATCACAACTATGGAGGAGTCACTAAGCGTGTGTGTGTGCGTACACACTTTTGGGAGGGCGAGGAGAAAAAGTGCATTGGAAGCAGTCAAGCAAGTAATTAGCACCATCAGGCAAATGGATTCCAGAGAATTCACAACGCACCCGCACACGCACGCACAATACTGCCGGGTATGCTAAGCACCAATCTGTTGTTTCTGTATTAATTAGCATCTTAAAAGCCTTTCTGTGTAGCGTCTCTATGAGGCACTGAAGAATTCATCGCAGTTATCCCTCCTACTGTCGTCTGCAGGGGAAAGAGGACGAGAGACCATACGTGTGTTTTTGCATGTGTACGGAGAGTCTTGTCATCTTTTCTATCACTGTTTGATGGGGCAGTGCGTTGTGGTGTAAGCGAACAGCGGTTGCGGTAACATAACTTTAACTGTGATGCTTTCGAAGAAGCAGAGAGTGTGGAGATCTAAGAATGTTCTCACACAACAAAGTCATTTACCGTACAGTGACCAAAACTGTTGTAGTGGCTGGTGCAGTATTTAGAATTGTACACTTATTCAGTATTATGACATGCTATCTTCAGATGAAGGTAAGTGAGGATATTCTTGTGGCATTTTTGCCAAAAAGTAGATTAAAATGGATAGATAGATTAAAAACCATTAACTAATTAATCGCACATTTTGAAATTCATTAATCTCAATTAATTAATTAAGTTTTTAATGAATGTTTGTTTTTCTTCTAAAGACTCACTAATCACTTCAGTAAACGTGTATTTTAGACACTGTCGTTTAATTGATAATGCTATTTTAAACAGAAAACTACACACATTTGGTCGTCTCGGAGGCAGAAATCCACCAGGTGGAGCACGTTGAACTAGCAACTCTTCCAGCTAGCCTAGCTTATCAGCTAGCGTAGCATAGCCGTGCTTTAAGTGGTCCGTTTGCCACCCCCCCCCCCTTCTGTTTGACATGTGGAGGAATTCCTCTGCGTGGTTTTCTGCTGTATGTCGCGTCTCTGTTTGCTTTACTTCCAATGCAAATATCTGTCTCCATCTTGAGCTACCGTCTTGCTTTCTCCGATGTAACTGACTGCAGCTAGCGGCCGTTTCGTTTCCGCGGTCAACTTACGGAAGTAAACAAAGGTAGGTTAACTACGTTAAAATATCTTGTTGCATTAATCTTGGCCCCATTAATCGCATAGATTAATGCGTTTATGTTGACAGCCCTACGAAGTTAAACAAAGCATTAAACAGTATCAATTGGGCTTTTGGACAAAGCAATATGCAATAAGTGCGTACAGCATCCAATATCAAAACGTCCCAAACAAACAATCAAACGCATGTGCAGAGTAACGGCGCATGTGCATGTATTGTATGACTTAACTGGATACATGTGGGTGGACGTGTGAACAACCATCATGCGTAGGATTACTTACTTGCCGTTTAGTACAGCTACTCCAACTGTGCTTCTGGGTGTTGCCATACTTGCAACGAAGCTCCACTGGCGAGCTTGGGGGTCCCACCTGGTGGAAAGTATGTTAGCAACCACTCAAACCCGCACATAATAAAACATGGCTAATTAAATCTCTAAATATACATACTGTGTCACTGCAGCTTACGTCCCCTCGGATATTGAGGTATAAAATGGATTGGATTTGGGATATAAGTGAAAAGGGGCTGCAGGAGACAAGCTATATGACCCTGACTACATTCATTTACAGCCATTTCTTTTTTCTGTCCCTATTTGGGGAAGTGGTCCTCATAATTTGTTTATCAGTAGACCTTAAACTGCTCTTAATGTTTTTTTTTTAAAAACTCTTAAAAACTCCAGCTCTCATAAAATTGTCCGCGCACTGTAAACATTTAGAGTGAATAAGTGTCCTCTTACCTTTCCACTGTGCTGAGGTAGCTCCAGCCATCGTGTCCTCCTACCGCGTACATGGGTCCCTCCAGGACGGCTACGCCTGCGATAACACAACCACATGGCCGCTATTAAACAATGGCAGCTCACCAAAAACAGACATCCGGGACCAAAGAGTGGGATGTTGACACCTCCACAATACGGGGATTTATCGGCACATCCGTGTGTTTAAATCCCCGCAGACACGCACACATTTATTAAAAAACAACAACGGAGGAGCAGCAGCACCTCAGGCCTCATCAGACGATGTCATTGTGACTGTGACACATCTGATACACATCTGGTCCGTTAAAGTGCTCTTGAGCAAGAATCCTTATTTTCAAAACACAAAAAATCGAATCCCTTTAAAACAACTGACCTAATTGGCGTATCCGCGCTCTTTTTGTAACGTGGGAGATTCCCGTTTCTAAGCACGGGGGCTCACCTAAGCCGTGCCTGTGAGTGGACATGGGCGGCATGACGCTCCAGGCCTTGCTGTGAGGGTTGTAACACTCCACGGTGTTGAGGGTCTTGAGTCCATCTCGGCCGCCCACCACGTAGAGACGGCCGGCGAGGACAGCGACGCCAAACTGGAGCCTCCGTCCACTCATGGTGGCCACCTGCCTCCACGTGTCCCGACGCAGGCAGTACTGCTCGATACTGGTCGCACCTGGGGAGAAGCCACAGAGGAAACACCGCCAACGCATTAAATGACTCACTGACGCACTAATCCGCCTCCCACACGGGAGGCTGCGTGTGTTTGTGTGTAACACACATGGATCAATGAGCTTTATATTCATGACCGCAGGATAGAGGACAGTTATTCCACCGAGCCGGCGGGAAATATATTGGAATGTGCTTTTCTTAAAGGATCCTGACATTAGGGCTGCAAAAAGTCATTATTTCCATCATTGATTATTCTCCCCATCGGTAAGTGAAATGACGATGAGAATCATGAAAAATGTCCCAAAGCTGACTTACTCATTTAAGTAGTTTGGTTGCTTCCTACACCTACACCCTCCTTCTCCCTCTGCCCTTGTTCGGTCCCCATTCACCTTTGAACTCTGCCTTTGTTTCAATCGCAACTACACACACTTCACAGCTTGTGATAGAAGCATAAAACACCGGCCCACGTTTCACCACCACGACACACACACACACACACACACACTCGGAAGGCGAAGAGCCACACACTGTTACGGCTGGTGATAATATCACCGCGTGGTTGTGTGTGTGTGTGCGCGCACCTTTCGTGGCGTCCATCCCCCCTACGGCGAACATGGCGCCTACGGTGGCCTTGCGGGGCCGCGTGCGGGGACTCTGGAGCAGCGGCTGGCGCTGCGGCAGGAGGTGATACTTCATGGCCTCCATCAGCAGCCGCTGGCACTCCATGCTGTCCCGCAGCAGAGGGTTGGACTCCAGGTCCGCCAGGAACTACACACACGTGAATAGGAGGAGACACAGAAAACAGCTCACATGAACACACACACACACACACACACAAGGGAGACGTGACAACTGCTTTCAAAGAGTCGGTCGGACAAACACGGGGTGAATGTGTATCACGTGTGTGGGTTAAGATGTTATCGCTGATGGTGGCTACAAAGAAAGCCGTTCTCTTATTGATCGAGGGGTTAGATGAGACCAGAGGCCATTAGTCTTTACACACACACACACACACACACACACACACACACACAGGGTCCAAAGTACAAAACATTTCAATCCTTCTGGTCCTTAAAGTACATCCACAGGAGAAGTGCCTCTGAGAAAGGCTTGTGGTGAGAATCCCTGAAGGCGAGAATTACTGATTTACATTTAGATTGGTGTGTGTTTGTTTGCACGTGTGTGTGTGTGTGTGAGTGAGTATTCTGAGGTAGAAAGCAGCAGCGGTTCTAGAGAGAGTGTGTGTGTGTGTGTGTGTGTGTGTCAGTCAGGGTGGAGATCAGGGTAGAAATCTTTCAGTTATGATAAATGACATTTGATAAAAGTGGGGGGAAAACGTCACATTTTGATTGTTTTTCCGACACCCTCTTTTTTCTGTCCTGATTTGTCAAAAGAAAGATTCGGCTGAAATAATTCAATTTCCCCGGCCCGACGCGGAGCGCATAAAGCGAGCGTGGTAAATGGATAAGCAGCTTACACGCGAGGGGAAGCCGCGCTTCTACGGCACACAAACACACGGGGGGGGAGTCATTTGAGTGGATGAGTGATAAAGAAGGACAACGAACAGAAGAGCGCGTTTGTCTTCTCCTGTGCCGTTTATCCATCACGTTGTGCAGGGCTGAACGTGGAGGGCGAGATAAGACGAGTCCTGCAGGCGTTTCCACTTCCTCCTCTCCGTCCTCCATTTGTCCCCACGGAGTCCGTTTCAGCATGACTGTCCACTGTGCATCAGCGCGTTAGCCCTGACGCCGCTTAGCGTGTTAGCGTGGACTCCATTCACGGTGCTGGGCTTGGCCGAAATGAACAGTTCTCAATTGGTGTGAAAGCGCTGGTGCAGAAACAAACAACCGATCCGACCCGGACACGGGGGACTTTTTCATGGCTGATAGAAAACAGAAGGTTAATCAGAAGGTATTCTGATTTGAACCAAGGCCATTAAAAAAGTAATCCCAAAGTAATAAACCCTGAAAAGTCCTTGAGTCCTTGTCCTTGATTTGCAGTCTAATTGATATGATTTGTATAATCTTTGTATTAATCAAAGTACATAAATATACACAGCAGAAGCGTTAAAGTGTTGCATAAACATTCAAGCATCATCGGTATTTCATTTCCCTCTGTGGGGACCAGAGTCACCTCGCCAGTCTGTACAACTTCATGTTTACTCCTCTCGGTCAGGTTGCGCGAGGCGGCGTGGACACAACCGCGCTGCAGGTGGGAAAAGCTCCCTTAGTATTTATTGCAAGCAACAGCGCCGAATAATTCAGTGGTTCCAGCTTCCCGGAGGAAGGGAATTTACGGCCGACGGGCGAACCTCCGAGGCGATTAGACCACGCGTGCAGGCGCCGGTGTTTGCGTGACAGTGGAAGTCAGGAAAAGGGATTAAAGGTTTTCATTTGGTCCACTGGCGCCCTTTAGATGAGAAGGCCTCCTGCCGAGCCGACTAATTGCTTGATGAGCATCGATCGGCTGTCTGCGTGAGGTTTACACGGCGGTTCATTGGCGCGTGGCGGCTCCGCGGGTCGCTGAACGTCAACCCCGTTTATCAGCTTAGCGTGGTGCTGCGGCGGCGATATACTCCTGAAGGTCCTCAGCGCCGTGACCGCCTCTCTGCTGCCTCTCCAGCGCCGTGGGCACCGCTTTAGCTCTCCGCCATCCATCTTCTGGCCTGATTACATGTTACAGCTGCTCGGCACTCCAGCTGAGCGGGGACGAAGCCGTATATCTGAGGTGTTCGCGTCTCGTCGAGGTGAAACCTGGGAGATATACGGACGCAGGCAGAGAAGCCGGAAAGAGGAGGGTGGGGGTTGGAGTGGCACGCGGGAAGATTTATCCCCACGGCTCCTTTATGAACAGTAGGGGAAACGGCTGGTGAGGGAGATGAAGGGATCAGATCATTTAGCTGCAGTTAGGAGGGATATCACACTTAATTAAGGTTTAAGACGCGCGCGTGCGTGCGTGGAAGCAGTAAGCGAACCGCTGCCCTGAATATGAATTCATCGGCATCCCACTAACTAACTGGGAAGAGGACAGAGGAGGAGACGCATGCGGCCACTTCAACACAGCGGTGAGGTCTACAGCTGTCGTGATCCTTCAAGCGGATAGGGACAGAGGACGGGAGCCAGGAGGAGGTAGAGTAGATTTTGCGAGGAAGAGCCAGATTTACTGTCATTAAAAACGATTATGGCTGCTTTAAATAGGTCAGTCACAACAGTGTGATATGCCACAGCGCTCTACGCAGCCCTCACCTGCGGGTGGAGCAGAGGCAGGCGGATGTGAGCCAGCAGCGAAGGCAGGTGCCGCTGTCGCGTGGCGGCATCGTGGCGAACCCACGTCAGCAAAGACGTCACCATGGTCTCCTCGTTGGGCACGTTGACATCCTCCGACGTGATGAGCCGCTCCATCTCCTCCTCTGGGAGCAACAGGAACTCCTGGCCTCCCACCACCTCCAAGAAGTGCTCCTGGTGGGCAGATGAAGTGGTTACAAAAGTAGAGAAAGGTCCTTTTAGAAATAGGAGCTGCGGATGAAAAACAGGATGAAGACAAAACAATAGGAAGAGGAGAGTGGAAAAAGGGAAGGATGGAGAGGTTGGACGGAGAGAAGAGCGAAGGCAGTGAGGGCTCGAGAAAGATCAGTGGGCGATGAAGATGAAGAGCTGAAGGAATAATGGCGGGATGATAAAAAGTAGATCCATGAAACAATGTCAGAAAATAGTCCCAAATATTGGGACAAAACTTTCAGAGAGATAGTTAGTGGTTGAACAAGTCGTCTTAAATGATTAATTGATTATTATTCGTATAGATTAAATGGGAATGTTCTGAGAATTAAATCATGAATTTATTACGTCAGCATAAAATTAAATGCTTGAACATCGAGGCCACAATACAAATGTGTTTAGCTGCCACAGATGATCATAATCCTAATCAAAAGCAAGGTGATGTAATGATAATGTTATAGCATAACTCTCTCATCCATTTATGGACCAGAGGATAAAGGGAGGAGAAAACAGATATACGTGTTTAGACACACTACATGTGTATTTGAGTGAAAAAGTGTGTCTCAATCACACACACACGCACAGTGTCATCCGAATAAAGCCACCGCCATGACACAATTACCGCGGATTAAAGTTGAGAGAGAAGGAAGAAAGAAAAGAAGGACTGAGAGAGACGGAGGGAGGCGAGGTGGGAAGGAGGGCGCGCTAACGGGAGAGAACAAGACGAGGAAACAGGAGTAATCAAGCCAATGGAAAAGCTATTTCACGGTCACCATAGCAACCCTGTGCTGAAAACAGCCCTTGTGCCGATAGTAATGTGCGGCGGGCGCCGCGGAAGAGGAACCAATTTGTTAGCGAGGAAAACATTAAGGCCTGTCGTGGAAAAGCAGTGCAGAGGGAGCGAAGCCTCTTTATTGTTCTCACTTCGTCACCGTATTGCCAAAATCACCTGTGGTCTACCTGCACCAACATCATCATTATTACACCAACATTGTTTCCTACACAAAGATGGAGTGTACCGCGTACCATGGTGTGGGCGTGCGCGGCCCGCTGCAGGTCGCCGCAGCCCTGAGCGTCGGCATAGGAGCGGATGCCCAGACAGTTGGAGGGGTGGAGCTGCTTCGTGAGGAAGGAACAGCAGGCCTGAACCACCGAGGACAGCTGCAGCAGGCAGGACGCCGACAGCAGGGACTCAATGGTGTCCTCCCTCAAATCCAGCCGCCCTGGGACCGACACGCGGGGAGACGGAAGGAAGACGGAATATTTTTTACAGTGTCTAAGATTAAATGATCTGTTTTTATGGGTTCCAGCATCAGTGTGTGTGTGTGTGCATACCTGTATATGCATACTGCACAAGAACCCACAGCGCATCAGGGTCCACTCCTTCCATCTTCACCTCGTCCTGCTTGGCCTCCCTCACGTCGCTGGTGAACATGGCCGCAAAGTAGTCGGACACGGACGAGAGCACCAGCCTGAGTGGGTGGAGAGAGGGACCCGGCATCCGTCAGAGAGCAGTGGGCAAGCCGTGATGGAGGAACGGGGCCCTTTGAGCTCAATGACGAGACCAGTCTGGGCTGACGGAGAAAAGACCCAGAACACCGAGGCTGACGCACCACGAGTAGATTGGTAGTTGGCACGAAAGCGGCTCGCAATAAAAGGCTTCAGCATGCGCGCTTCCTCGCCAAGTTCTCGTCAGAACTTGCGTCCAATAAAATCTAATTTGCCATTTGGAAAAGCTGTGAATTACTTTTGACTATTTTTGTTAGTTATATTCTACAAATTTAAAACATTTAAAATATTAGTAATAAAACCTGTACACAACATACAGAATCTGATATGATATACTTGGGTTTATGTGATATCACATGATTTTTTTGAGTGCTGCATCAGCAAAAATTTGGTCCGGCGTTGATAAGCTCAGAGCGGAGCGGGCAGCTTGGCGAGCGGTTCGCGGCCTGTTTTATTCGGCCATTAAACTTGATTTGTTGACTCCGTCCTGCCCGGTTAACCCCAGTGAAATCCCACAAGCTGCAGTTTATCTTTTGACGGCCTCAAAGTTCAAACCGCCCACGCAGACAGGATCCTAAAGCTCGGGACCTTCAGGACGGGTGTGAGAGACGGCGGCGGAGCAATGAGTGCCGTGAGCAAAACGTTGTCCGAATATAATCAATCTCCTCCCCACGGCAATATCCTCACTTTGCACGTCTGAACAGACGTAGGAGAGAACTGTGCAAACCTGAGGCATCTCCAGATGTGTGCACACAGCGAGCACAGAGAGCTCAGATGCTTAAGTGTTCTTTCTATTCAGCTGGCTGGAGGACGACCATTCGAAACGCACCACGGCGCTCGCTGCAGTCGTCAATTGAGCTCATGGTCAGTGGAGTAAAAAGAATATGCCTAACGTGAGGTCAATGTGAAAGTTATTGGCTGAGGGAGAAGATATACGGCATCGCGCAGAGCGAGCCGGAGGAAGGACAGAGAGGGATTAGCTAAAGGTCATTTCGAAAAGGGACAGTTAATTATTCCACGCCGCAAAAATCCATCACCTTCCATGCCACTGTTCCGTTAAGCACAAACATGTCAAGGAATTGGGAAAGTACACCCTATTACATATTTAATGCGCATTTGTAAATGAGGCTGTGACGGATGGACGCCACGTGACAGCGCCACGCAAAGGCCTCCGCCTCACGCTTAATGTCATAAACAGGGCCGGTCAACAATAATTACGTCAAAGACCTGTTTGACCGCCAGATGTTTGAGAACCGATGTTCACACGTGTCACTGGTCTCTGCCGATTCTCTGTTCCGTGTGTTTTCCGACTTCAAGGTCAACAGATGTGTGTCTGTGTGTGTGTGTGTCGGTGGGGACTAACTAACTAATGTATGTATGTGTCATGCACATGTGTATAATGTCATTGTGACTGTGACAGTGGGACCATGATAGATAGCCTGCAGCAGTGTGTGTGTGTGTGTGTGTGCGTGTCGCCTTTACTGACAAAGTTGTCAAAAAAAACGCAATAGTCAGCAGGAAGTTGCTCTGCCAGTATTCCAGACGGGTATCTCTTTCTTATCTGTTTCTCTCACACACACACACACACACACACACACACTCTGCCTGACTTCCTGTGCGACCCCAGCTACAGGCTACACAGCGCTGGGTTATTTACACACAGGTGCACCTCTCAGAAGACAGAGACACGGCAGGCAGTGTGTCGCTCCGTGATGGGAAGAGAGCAGGAAACAGACGAGCTGGAGGCAGGAAAGAGGAGGCCGAGCTGGAAATGCCGCATGTGTTTGCGGGGGCTGCTAGGAGAGACTTACTCTACTCTCACGACCCACACACACTCCAAAAGAAACGAGGCCCGAGTCGTATATGTTGACGCTGATGGCATTGATGACTTTAGGGGGGGGGGGGATGTCTTTTTGCCCTAAGGTCACCAGCAGGTCAAAGTTTCCACTTATCCCCCAAGGAGAATTGTAATAACTAAATTACTTTTTAGCTGTTCAATTTGTCCAGGACTTTAAGTTCCTTCCATTTTCTTTGAGGGGAGTTTTTCCCTGAGGACAGAAGTCGTGCGCTGAAGGGATCGTAAACCCTCCCGAGCTCAATGTGTGGTATGAATACATTGGTTTATGACCAAATACTGGCTAAATCTAATGATATCCCCATGTACCTCAGCTGTACTTTATGTTCAGCGATAAACAGCAAATGTTTGCCTGCTAACATGCTAAACAGATGGCTAACTGCTAGCGTTGCCTTTGCGAGCATGTTGGCTCAAATCAGCACCGTGGAACCTCACAGAAGTGTCTGAACTAAATGTATGTTAACTGAAATCAGTTGAGAGGAGAGGTACAAAAATAGCGTTTGCAGGATAATGTATTTGTATAAGGCTCTGTTCCAGAAACGGTGCTCTGCTTCTTTGCAGAGCACATAGAGCTTGAGGCCGACTTGCAACACACTCACTTACAACAAGTGGCCTCGTTGTGTGTGCCTACAAAACAGAGAAACGGAGTGCATGTTTTGTTCCCAGAACAGCGTTTTTATCCTACACGTGCAATAAATCAATTGCAAACAAAACACCCACTTTCAAGCGGCTCACTCCCACCCCGCTTACACACAAACACACATGAGCAGCCAACACGCCCAACACGCTCTTTCTCATGCACCACTCGGGGGTTCCCGTACAGCGGGGTCTTCTGTTTGTCCCCATCTGCGCCCGGGGTCACTACATCAAGTGGGGCAGAGGAGAAAGGCGGCCGGAGAAAAGGGGGCTTTCTGCTGGTGGAGGGCCGCTCTTCCTCTGGGTCTCCCACGTGCAGATGGACCCTGCTGCTGCACCCCTGGCCACACGCCCAGCGGGGGGGGGGGGGGGCTGCGTGGTGGGGGACAGGCACGTGTGTGTGTGTGTGTGTGTGTGTTTGATGCATGATTGAGAGGCTCAGTTGAATGAGTGTGATAGAGGAACTACACAAAATGTTCCTGATGCGTGTGGAGATTACGTTCCCGTGTGAACAGTACGTGTCATCACGTGTGGGCGTGCACGCATGGCTCGAGTGTGCCATTACTAACGAATCACAATGCACGCGTGCAGTACACATTTTAATGTTGAACAACTAATCCATTCATTCTAACAGGTTTAGGATTCATGTCACTGCATGAGCCGTACTTGAACAGCACTTCGTTCTTCCATGTAATCATACCTACATTCACCAGCCGTACAGTGATGGCAGAGGCTACCGTGCAAGGTGCCCTCTGCCCATCAGTACTGTCCAACATTCATACCCGGTCACACATTCACGGCACAGCCCGCAGGTCTCAGGACGGAGGGCCGCCGCATGCTGAAGGGATCGTAAACCCCCGCTGGAGGATTTATGGTTCTAGGCTGAAGGAAATGACCTCATCTGTACCTTAGCTGTTCACCCTCACTTGGGGGTTAAGTGTCCCTCCCGAGGACACGTCGATGTGGACAAACGAAGCCGAGATGCAAACCCCACCAATCTTCTGATTAAAGGACGACCCGCTCTTCCACTGAGCCACAGTGTTTTTGTACTCGGCCGTATCTTAGTGATCAAGTATTTGCGTGTTAACATTATTAGTGTGCATTCCTCACAGTTTCCCATCTTATGGCGTCATGCAAATAGGAAGTGTGCAAGATAAACAGTAGTATCATGGAAATTGTTTTAAAAAAAAATCTTTACATTTTTGCATTAATTTTCCAAAAAGTGATGTTTCTGTTGGATTGTACTGATGCTACAATAACACAGTTTGTTTTACACTTGTGAGGAACATACATGGTGTATATTGTTAACATGAGCAGCTGAGTAATTAGGAAAATCAATTAATGACAATTTTGACAAATGAATTAACCAATTGTAATTTAGCAACCAAATACTGCCAAACACGGACTTGTTGAAGCTGTGAAAATGTGACTATCGGACGATTCTGTTTTTTGTTCAAGTTCAATACCAGATTGATACCAGACTGATTTTGGATCGTTTCTCAGACAAAACATGCGATTAAAAGATATCAACTTGAATTATATTTTTAATTAAAAAAACACTGACCTAATTGCTCTTAAACATATCTGAGGGGATTCTGTGAAGACATTTGACCTTCAGTGTGACGTCGGACGCCTATTGCCATCTTTGCCGTAGACATTTCGTGTGACACATTAACGGTGTCTTTGCCCTTACCGATGTGCCGGTATCCGCCTGTCTCCCGCCACCAGCACGACGTCACACAGCTGCCGGGACCGCAGGTAGCCCTCCATCTTGCGGAAGGTGATGTCGGCGTGGGACAGAGCGGTGAACGTGCACTCCTCTGGACACGCACATGGCTCCAGCGACACGCACGAGGACAGTGTGGCGCTGCTGTTGGACGTCCTACCGCAGAGACAGGCGTTCACACACACACACACACACACACACACACACACACACAGGCACACAGACACAAAGAGAAGGAGGCAGATGCTTTGAGCGTCGGTGCCGACTCCTTTCGTTCAAAACAAACAATGCAGATGTGCAGAGGGAGTCACGGCAGCTGCTGTGTGTCACATCTTTATTCCCTCATTCGGTCGCTCCCTCCCTCGCTTGCTCGCTGTATGTCGCCAGCAGCGTGCAAATGCTGCGTAATGGTCCAATTGCTCGGCGTAAATGGCCAGATAAATTTAGCCCACTTAAAAGAGAAGCTGCCAATTAAATAGCTGCGGGAGGAGACGAGCCCATCGGAGGTGCAGTGAATTAGTCGGCTCCCTAACGGCAGCCGGTTTCCTTGTTTCTATACCAACAGCGGGAGAAGTGAGGCAGCGTTTTGGCCCAGGAATGCCTTTAACATTCAATTCCCTGGCGGAGGAGCTGCAGCCCGCGGTTATGTCTTATTCTCCCTGTCTGAGGCGATTGGGTGTGAAAAGACAAACACCGATGAAGTACATCAGCCATCACGCGGATTGCTCCCAAAACGGGCATTTCGTTTGCGACGGCCAGGGCCACACTTCCATTTTTAATTTAGCAGCAGAATTGGCCGGACTGGCCCTAAAGCATGAAGAGATGAATGGAGTGACGCTATGCTTTCAACTCAGCCAAAGAGAAATCATCTGTAAGGGATGTGGAAGAATGTGTGTGTGTGTTCTCTTGTTAATAGACAGACACAGAAGTCCTTGGTCTTTAACAGGATTATTAATCGGATATCGTTCTTCGAGTATCTCAAGTGTGTCCATCCATTTTTGGGCAACATAAAAAGGTTTTCCGGTTTCAGTCTACTCATCTTTAGAAAAGGCACTCGTTTTACCAGGGTAATAAAACACTGTCAGACAGCGCTGAACAAAGGTGAACACGGCCTTCAGCGTGTGTATTTGCGTATCCAGTCTTGTTTGCGTGTATGCAGCTGATGCGCTACAACAGGGGTCATCTTCCCTTCGGCCTGTGTCCTCCGCTCCTCTTCATACGTCTCCCATCCGCACTCGTGTATCTAATCTCATCCATCACTCACTCACCTCGTTCCACCACATCACCCGTCTTTGCCTCTGTCTTTATCTCTGTCTCTATCCCTGAAGGCTCGCTTTCTATGCTCTTGTGTGTGCGTATGTGTGTGTGTGGACAAATGCCCCGGCTAAATACTGCCAGAGAGGAGGACTTTGAAGCCGGGGAACGTTGCCTTCCAGTTCCCTTAATTGTGCCTGGCAGGCACTCAACACAGACACAGAGAGAGAGAGAGAGAGAGAGAGAGGGGGGAGACAGACAGAGTGTGTCTGGGGCAAATCAACACCATGCAGCCAGATTTTTTTAACCCGCTGCACCAGGCAAGGACGCGCACACCACTTTCATTCAATCCCTTTCTCCCTGCCTCGCTCACGCACACTCACCAAGTGATGAACTATCCAGCCTGATTAGCCTGAAGGCTAACGGCTAATGCAAATGAAAGTTGCCTCCGTGAGGCTGATATACGACGCGATCACACAGCCACCACAGGGCCGGCCTGCTCACATGTGGGGGAGAGAGAGAGAAAGAGGAGGCACACCAGGATTAAAAGGGGGCTGGGGTGAGAGACTAAAAGGAGAAAAGGCGTGGATCGGCGGAGTGGAGCCTTTCAGCCACTCTGGGATTCAGCATGCGTCGTTTCCTCTGACACCACTTGGGAGTCGGCCACTCGTGTTCTTGGAGTATCATACTGTACACATGCAGGGGCTCACGGAGGGAGGGGATGGACTGCATACTGCAAGCAACATACATGCACGCTGCAGCCTCAATCTCTGTGTTGGTATGGCAACCTTAACATATTCAGGCTGAGACTGCATACATGCACAATACACACTCCAGGTTACATCATAATTTCATTTTGGCCTATGATATTGAGTCTGCTGTGTGTCTGTGTGTGTGTGTGCATCGCCATTAAGCAGGAGTAATTTTCTGTGTGAGCACTTCTGGACTCCCATAATCTATGAATATGTGAAATTGAGTCTTGCATAACAATGGATATGTTTTTAAAACACATTTCTCTCCTGCATGCTCGCACAATCTGACATTTGAGATGAAAATGGGGCGTTGAATGAAAGCGCATCAGACGTTAATTGATTTTTTGGCTCCGACGTGAAGCTGTTTTTGAAAAACGGCAACCGTTAAATAAACAATATTCCAAATCCCAACAGCTGGATTCTCCACATCTGTGCACTCCATCCACACATGACCACGCGAACATGCACATGAGCGTTACATTATTTCATTACATGAGCAGTGAGGAACGTGAGCCAAAGCTAAAAAGACAAAACAATATAAATGTCACGTGTCAGTACGTGGCGGCACGCGGGGCTCAGCCACGGACTTCTATTGTTCATTTGAACGTCCCATGTTCTCCTCCTTTACCCGCAGTCTGGGAAAAGGAGCCTCATTAGGAGGTTGAGAAATCAGTGGACCACATTCCGCCCCAAATGTCCTCAAACCGTCATTGTCTGTCTGCGTGTATTCTAATCAGTGGCCGTGCACATCTGGACCGACGAGGCCACATATATTTTTAGTAATGAGAGCATTTACAGTTTACACCCGCCAGTGTAAAGTGACAGAAAAATGTGCCAATTACTTGTCTGTAACTGTCCCAGCTTCCCCTACAATCACCCCGCCGTCAAACGCGATTGGGTGCGTTCTGCACGTCCCCCTGACTTTGTTCGGTATCTTGGACTTGAACTTTTAGTCTGGGCTGCAGGGTCGCGACCCAACCCAACCCAACCACAACCCCCCCTACGCGTACTACCTGCACGAGCTGGAGTCGGTTTCCTGCTGGTGGTCGTCGGTGCCCGACGCAGCCGGTGCCGTCGCCGCCGCCGCCGCCTCCTCTCCGTCCCCGACATGAGCGGCTGGCTCGGGGACCAGCTGGGGGAGCGGACCCCCGCCGGGGGGCTCCATGCCCGACGCGGGTCGGGAACGACGGCAAGGCGGCGGGGAGACCCAGGTGAGCGCCGCGGCGGCGGGGCTCCTGCACTCGGGCTGACTGACGGAGCGGGTGCAGGAGCCCCCCGTCGCTCCCGCCGCTCCGCCCCGCTCGCCCGCCGGATCGGCAAACTTTCTGCCGCTTCCGTTACAGAGGTTCGACCCGGCGCTGCCGCTGGCCACCAGCCCGCAGTGCCCCGCGGGGCCGGGGGTCGCGCTGGCGGAATCGGGGTCGCTGCAGCCGCCGGGCCGATGCCCCGTCCCCCGGAGCTGCCGCGCGCTCTCCGCCCGGCGAAGTAGTCTCCCGCCGGCGGGGAGTGAGGCGGAGGCACCGCGGGGTGACCGAACCACCTCCATCGGATCGTGAGGATCTGCTTCACGTCGAACTCCTTCCGCGAGGAAGAGCCCGAGCCGCTGCTCGACATCCCGGAGGGATGGGGGGGGGTCGGCACGAGGAAATGGCGTGAGAGAGCCCGTGCAGCTCCGCCGTTAAACCGGCACACTGCCGCGCAGCAAGCGCACCTCTGTGCACAGAGAGAGAGAGAGAGAGAGAGAGACAGAGAGAGAGAGACAGAGAGAGAGAGAGAGAGAGACATCTACCCAGAGTCTGAACGTCTGTGCCAAAGCGCGCCTTCATGCACAAACCGAACCACAAACATTTGCCACGGGGAAAAATGAATGTGACATTTCTGCCAGTGCAAGCCACAGGCCTCATGCAGCAGAGAGGCATGATCATCATCATCATCATCATCATCATCATCATCTTCAATCAACAGGCCAGACAATCAATCCATAACAGGCTGTTAGAGAGATGGAACCAGTGGTTTGGCAGCTCGGGACTCGGGGAGACGTTTCTGTGTGCGAGAGCCTGGTTGTCTTGGGAGCTGAAAGCAAGCATTTAAAATGTGAGAAAATTTCTTTCTCACAATTTAAAGTCCGACTTCAAATGTATTGTTTTCTTGGAACTAAGAATGGAACAAGTGAATATTTGAGTTATTTGGCCCAAAACGATTCGTGATTAATGAAATTAATCTCAAACATTCTGTGCATCCAGTTGATCCAAAGTGAAGCTTTTTTTTCTCTCCATATATTTGTAAATTGAGTGTCCTTTAGTTTTAGTAGAAATTTTAGTATTTTCTTCAGACAAAAGTTTTTAACAGATCTATCAAATATCACTATCAACTCTGATCGTGTGAATCGTGTGGAAAAAAATCAACAGCCATTTTTTTCCAATTATTTTCAATGACTCCATTTTGGGGGTTTGGATCAAGTCCTGTATTGGAGAGGGGATTAGGTCACATGTCCCCCCATCAAAGGCTGGATCCCGGTTGTCGTGTCTAGACTCATAAAAGCCTCCTTGTCCTCTTTATCTGCCCCACTTCCAACTTCTGCGTAAGTCTCTGTCTTGTTGCCGTCTAACAACGTCACGTTGTTCAGAAACCTGACAGCATGAGCTGCGTGAAGACAGAAAAACAGCCAGCCCGGCTCCCAATCACCACAGTGGGGGACTTAAGTCTTCTTGAAAAGGAAATTATTCCCTTCTTGGCTTCCCCACAAACCATTTACTCACCCATTACACTTCCTCTCCTTCGGTTCCTTCTCCTCCCATCTCGTCCATCCATCTGCAACGCAGCAGCTATTCATAGACACGCCGGTCATTTGGCCGCTGGTCTCGAGGGAGCCGTCCTCCACGCAGAAGCCCACCCGGGCACCAATCGGGCGGAACAGCCGGCCGGAGCCCTCCTCACCTCTCCCAGTAACCCCTTCGAGGGCCCCCGCGACGGGCCCCCCCCCCGAGGCACGACTGGCGATTACGCTGTGTTTCTCCGCGGAGTCCCATCAAACAGGAGGGGAGGGATGCTTTAGGAGCGCCAATCTACAAATCGATAAGTCAAACGACCGAGGGCAGTTTGCGGATTACACAGACAGGAGATGCGTTGCTCGTGAACTGTAGGCCCCTTAGCCTACAAGCCGACGGCACGCGGGGACTCGTTTTACGCCGCGACCAAACAACTGAAGCGTGCAGATGGAAATGGGCGATATTACATCTTTTACGCTTTTGTTTGCCAGATTCTGAGGAACAAGGGGCTCTTCTTCAGCGTCAGGATGCCGTAGCGCTGAGACCACCCGGATGCTCTGTCAGATCAATAACCCCAGTCAATAAACACACACACACACACACACACACACGACAAGTCTGCATGGAGGCACAACAAGCAAGCAGCAGTATTGTTGGAGCAAAGAACTAATAAAGAGTCACAGAAGAGTAAACCCATGCGTCTCTGCAACGCCCCCTGAATGGAAACACCCCCCTGTTCCTGGGAGGAGGGTGGGCACGGGGCAGCGTTTTTCGACTGGGGGGGCATTGGGCGCTGGTCTCCTTCAGTTGGATCTAATCATTGGTCACTTGGCGGGAGCCTCCTTGAGCCGCTATACTGTTATTGGTCTCCTGGCTGCGGTAGTGCAAGGCCATCACTCAAAGGCACAGCTTTATAGCTCACACACACACACACACACACACACACACTCATGATATAACATCAAGGAATTCAGTTCACACTTCACACTTGATAATCGTAATTTGTGTGCATTCAGGCATGCGTGCAGACAGTTTTGACGCTATGAGCATCCAAACACTCACACGTGCAGATCTCGAGCCGAATAAAAATACGTAGCAGCCGTCTGGCAGGAGCTGTCGTAAAGAGGATTTTATAGGGCCAGAAAGTGAAGCATTATCTATCTGGCATGCCTGTGATGATCAGCTCATATCATCTCCCTCGCTCTTTATTTCCTGTATTCTCCCTTCCTGTCTTTTCTTCCCCCACTGGCCTCTGTTTCGAAACCTTCTCTCCCGTCCTTTGATCCCCACCCGCCCAGCCGCAGCCGGCCTCCTTTCCACGTTTCTCCACAATCTCCATTTCCTGCTCCCCTTCCCCTTTATGCAATGTGTGTGTTTGTGTGTGCACGTAATGGTGGGGCTGCGATTACCTCGGGGTAGATCGAGCCATTGCTCCATATATGCTCCTGCAAACATTGGCATATGCCCGCCCACACACACACAGAACTCATCTACATTCTGCATGCATATACATAACATGACGAGGACACACTTTCATTGAAGTCACAGTCCCCTCTTCTTCACACAGACAAAAGGACACACACACACACACACACACACACACACACACATGCTTGTTTCCGTTCTGTAACAGCAGCGCTGGTCGGCACTGACGCTGCAGGCGAGTCCGTCCTTGAGACTCAGACCGGCCAAGCAAATAATTACCTCTTCACATCGACAGGCCGGCTCCTCCCAAACGAATGAGAACGACGGGGAGCGTTTGATTGCAATTCAGTTGATTTGGAGGCACACGATTCAACGTTATCGAGCAGAAAATATATTTAACATTGGCCGCGCCGCTTGCAGGGAGGAAGGAAACCAACGTTTTGAGCGTGCTTCTAACTGTGTGCGTGTTCTTGCAAGTCTATCTCTGTGGGGACCATTTTCATTTTAGACCACGATGTTCTTCTTAAATTGGGACAATATGGCTGTTCCCCTCATCTTGGCCACTAACTATTAACCCGAAGGAAATGGGACAAAATGCTGTCCTCTGAAGCATGCCGGTTCCTGTGGATACAAAAGGTCTGTGTGGAGAGACGGGCGGGACCTTGTGAAGGCAGTTTGGTCAAGATCTGGATTCATGGTTGAAATTGTTGAGGAGAAAGAGGCACGGTAATGCGAAATGTTAATGTGGGTCCTCATGTGGTAATTTCCCTCGTATCTCCATCAAATCAGCCAATAGCAGAGCCAGTTATTGGATGCAAAATCAACACAGATGCAGAAAGGAAGCAAGGTAACATTATTTCGGCCCCTTATGAACTATCGCACTCTCTAGGATTTGATCTCCTCCAGTTGGCTTGTTAAAATGTCCGTTGGCAAGGACCCCAAATACTCCCCATCGCCGTCGGATTAAACGGGGAGGTGGCACCTTGCATGGGAGCCTCTACCATCGGTGTGTCAATGTGTGTCGCTAAGCGAATGATAACATGGAGTGTAAAGTGTTTTGAGGGGTCAGAAGACTGTAGAGTCCATTTCCCTTTGTCACAAAGTGAGATTGAGCGACTAGTCCATTGCTTTGATGCGTCCTTTACTTTGCTTTCTTTGGCTCACATCCTGTGACAACCTCCTCGGCCCCTTTACTAATGTCCTCCACTTCCCCCCTCCATTACCCCTGTTCTCTCGTTCTCCCTTTCTCCTTCTCCCTTCCAGATCTACTGCGTTAATTAGGTGTGTCTTGTGTGTGACCAGAAGAGGGTCCTTTCTGAGCAGATATAGTAGCTTGGGTGGGGAGGAAAAGCAAGAGCGACAGAGAGAGAAAGAAAAAGACGGAAAGCCTGAGTGATCCAAGAGACGGCAAGAAAGCGGCGAGGGATCAAAGCGACCAACACTGCCTGCATGCAGTCACCTCAATGCCCTAACCGATGGAAGCGCGCGTATTCCGTCTTATATCGGAGCAGAAACCTTCCACCTCGCTCCGTCTGCACCGAGACTTTGACACACTTCTACTGCCATGTTCTATTCAACAAATAGTGAGAAATAGATGTTTCTAGATGTACCCACCCTGACACACACACACAACCCCATGTATACGCACACAAGGCTCAAACCAAGCGGTCCAATTACTTTGATCCGTGCTCGCTGCTGTGTTCATCCCTTTTGCCTCAAAGCACAACACCTGTGTTCACACAAACACAAACACATACGCGCACACAAACACACACTAATAGCTTGGTAGCTCTGGTTCCTCTAATTGCCTGAGAGGAAAAAGCGAGGAGGAGGGATCAAGGATGCAAACTGCCAAATTTAACCACATTTGTCGAGCTGTGCATCTGTTTAGCAACCCCAGAGCACGAAGAGGCGGAGGAGGACGATACAGGGGAAAAAAGCTACTGGCTCTCATCCAGTCCAATCAAAGCTCTCATATCAGCTCCCGCACGAAGCCTTTTGCATTTTTGAAATTCACTCTCCACTGTCAGTTCCCCAAACTATTTTGTACGTTGTATGTTTGTTGTATTTCATATTATTTTAACTTATATCTCACTTAACAAAACTCACTACCTCACTTTTTTTTAAACTTTACTTTTTATTTTATCATGTTTTTTGGCCATATTTATTAATCTATGTCAAATGTTTGATTTCCTTGCAGCTACGGTTTGGTCTACACCTCTTTTCACGGCTCTGCTGTGTTGGAATAAATCTGGTCTCTGTGCCGTTTGGTACTTGTGGGTCTATTGGGGTTTATCAGGGTATTTTCACTGAAAACAGCTACCTTTGCTATAAGAGTACTACAAGAAAACAATGCTAGTTCCCTGTGGGTTTATCAGTAGAACGACGCCTTTCCCATTGGCCATAGCAATTAGTTTACTTCAATCATTTGAAAATACAACCTGCGCAGCTTTAAACCACAAAGTCATGACGAGGAGGAGGGAGCGACAGAAGGCTAACCTCACTTCTATCTTATGGAAC